GATATGAGGGATATAGAATTCCAGATTTCCCCTTGTCACCCCTTAGCCAAATTCCAATCTCTGTTACAGGTTGTAATCTGAGAATTTTGGAGGTTTTTTGTTAGTACAATCAACAATTTTCACACTAAAAATACAAAAAAATACTCAAATCAAAGCTCTCAATCATAGGAACAATATGCAAATTTTTGTATATTTTTGTCTCTCTCCCAGACTACTCAATATCTTTGTGTGTTGGTTTTTATATTTTCTGCCCAGAAGATATTATATTTTGTGTATTGTTATATGCATTGTGGTTTTAAAAATATGAAAAAATATGCCAGACAATCGGAATGCATCAAAGGGTCCTCCCATTATTTTTTCATATTTTTCTGACCCTTGCCAGCTTCTCTATAATTTTCTATGTCTACTCAATTTTCTAAACTCCACGGTAAATTTGCAATTTGGCGTAGTGTGAAGCACAAATTCCCCTTGTCGTTGTTGACGGTTTGCCAACGTAACTTGGTTGAATGACTTCAATACCAAAGAACCAAATATTCCTAATTCTTCTCCAACTCCGATCTCTGTATTTTCCAAGACTTGACGTATCGAGTCGACTAAGCAGAACCTAACACATGATGACTTGGCAAGTGAGAGCAGAATCCATTTGCTAGATTGCAGAATACTGACGTAAACTCAAATTAAGAGAAAAGGTAGGAGACGACACGTGTCGTTTCTTCAAAGGCAAATCGTTATACAAAGCTTGCTTGAAATTCCCTCAGAAAAGATGTGCCCCTACGTAGTCAAACTGCTCTTCCTACAGCAGGAACCCTGCGCAGGTTTCATTTCGAATGGCTGGAATATTCTTATTTTCGCGCATCCCTTTCACGGACTTTGTTACTTTTTACGGAGTTCATCTTAACAAAGAGTGCACAGCTTTACAAACTAGGTTGTGGTACGTATCATTGAAAGAAAAGTATTGACAAGGTAAAGCTAGAAGAAAGAAAAGGAACTACATTTATGATTTCACAAAATTGACTGGCCGTGTATCCTCACCCGATAAATGCAAGTAAACCCCGGGTTCCCATGGTTTGAGGTGACTCTAAACAGCACCTTGCTGTAGGCGAACTTATGTGATTTGTTGAGTTCGAATGTTTGTAAGGTTGAACTGGGGCTGGAGATGTTGTATACCCCTTGGAACAACGGAGTCGTGCTGGCTACTGCATCCCCGTCATCACTCACCCCCCAAAGTTCGAACTCTCTAGGTGCAGATGTGATGTCATTCTGTGCTAATTGCGCTCCGATGTGCTCAATTGACAAGGCTGTAATATCAATGGTACTACTGAGCCCTATCCCAAGCTGCCCTACTGATCCAACGAAAGCCCAACAGTTTCCAGCTGAACCATCGCCACTCAGTGCAGTTCCGGGTGTCTTCGTGTTCGTGTTGGATGAGCGTGACGTTTTCGACCAAGGCAGATGCCTTCGCCAACTCTTAGAGGCAATATAAGACTTTGAAGTCAAGGATTGAATCACGTAGCCGCCGGTGTGCATAAAAGCAAAATCTCTGGGACCGTCCCGATCCTTGATACACTGTTTGAAAGCTTCTCGCGCCATATAGCTCGTTCGTAACCCGGTTTGCACTTGGTTAGGATCTTCTTGCGTGGTTGTTTGGAGTCCTTTCTCGACATCGCCTATGAGATCTTCCGGCCAAACCTGAACACCATCCGTTCCCGCGTGTACGTCTTCAAACCTGGTATCTGCAGCTCCTTCATCTACGTGATGAAGATTTTTCTTCACAAATGCTGGCGAGATGATAGAGGGATGGAGACTCTCTGCTATGTTTACCGCGTCTGGATCATTGAATGTGCCTCGTTGCTTGTATTTGAGACCCTCCCATCAACGATGGGCTGGTTACGTTTTTTTCAACGTGTAACGCGTCGTCCCGTAACGGGGTTGCGCTATCGGTTGGGGCCGGATTTTTTAACGTACTTACGGGTACGTTAACAAGTTCTGTCACAATTTTTTTTTTCGGTACCTGTACGTTCACATTTCCGTGACAGGTAACATTGGTACGTTACACATGATTTCTAAGTCATTTTCCGTTATCGGAAATATTCTCTGGCTGATCCAACCAACAAGTCATCTCATCATCATGGACGATGATGATGATATCGATTCCCATGAGGCTGTGACCCACTGGTTGCATCATCAACTCACCAGAGCAACATACAACACCAACTCACGAGACGAACAAACAACCCTAATAATGAACCCCAAAAAACAGCCCACACAAACCAGACGATCGACCTACCCCAATGGATGGCCGATCGAGTTGGATTTTGTCACCTCCCGAACTAACGTGAGTGTTCTATTGTACCCTTATGTATGTCATTTTTGTCCTTATTTTTGTTCTCTTCCTCCTCACATCCATTCCTTTTTCGTTTTCTTTATATTCCACATACTTACCTTTATCATCATCTAATATCACTTTGATTCGACTTTAGCTATTCCAATCGGTTTCTCCTTCTGCTCGACTCAACCGCGTCAACATGTGTCCAGGTTCAGGGTACGAGACCGATGAATCCCATTCCCAGTGTCACAGTCAACCACGTCGAAGTTCTCGGATCACAACACCGGTCCGACTGGAACCTGGCATGATCCAACCTTGCCAGGACAGCCGCCGTGGTCTCTTCAATCCGTCTTCACAACCACCACCTTCTTCAATTGGCACCAAACGAGCCCGATCCACTTCTAGATCCAATTGCAAGATGGTTGGGGGGCACATTGTCCCAAACCAGGGTCAAAAGTCCAAGGAGAAGACGGTCTCCAGTCAGAATCGGACAGTTAAAAAACCCCAACCAAAACGATCTAACAACAGGGTGAGTTAATACTGATGATCTGTTTTATCATTATCAAATCATTCAAGTCTTTGTGTTCTTTCTCTCATATCATTTTAATTTTTTATTTCATACCAATCAGGTCCCTGCTTCGACCGCTTCGTCTGTTACCAATGCATCCGGAAAAACCCAAAAAACTCAGGTGAGGCCCACTCTTTGTTTTATCGGCCACATCAAAACACCAAGTTTTGATCTTATTACTCATCTTTTCTCTTTCTATGTATAAAACCTTTCTAGAACATTCCTTTGTCTTCTTCAGGCCGCCCAGGCCCTTCCATTGATAAGCGTCAAGACTCTGACAACGACAATGCTCAGATCCGTAAACGACGCAAAAAAACTCAAGACAACAATGACCCAAATGAGAAAGGGTTCGATGACATCTCTTTGTACTATGAAGAACCCACGCCTGGTGATGGTGATGTAAGATTTGAACGAGTCTCTTTTTTCGTTTTTTTGTTTTTCCTTCCTCATCTTCTCTTTTTCAACTTTCTGCTAATCGATATTGCTTTGACTTTAGGATCCCGATTTCCCTTTGGACTTCAAATGCCGTTGGTGTGGGAAAGTATGCCGAGGACATGGAACCACTCGATCAAACCTCAAGATTCACCGTGATGGTTCGAATCAAGCTGGAAGGTCCAAGAGTGGTTGCCCTTGTCGTAAGGAGGCCATTGCGCGTGGCTGCAAGCTCCCTCCAAGTGTCGCCGAGGTCAACGCGAAGAAAATAGCTGACTCACACAAAGTTTCAACAATGCAGAACTATGTCACAGTGATGCCAAAGTTCGATATGAAGATTTTTAACCGTATCTTGACACTATGGCAGGTACGGCAAGCCTTGCCATGGTCTCGAATTGAAGACCCTCTCCTTCAGGCAGCATTTTATTACGCTCGACCTGATGCCCGACTTTACCATCGTAAGTGGACAGCTAACGAGGCAAAACAACTCCACCTTAATTTAAGAGACACTGTTTATAGCGAGCTGGAAGTGAGTATTCTTTGTCTTTACTGTCTTTGCTTGTTTTCAGCTACCTGATGATCTACATCTTCTATGTCTCAGTTGATTCCAGGAAAGTTCACACTCACTCACGATGTTTGGACGGTCAAAGGGAATTTATGGGCTTTTATCGGTGGTGTGGTTAGCTATATTGATGAAGACTGGAACTATGTCACTCGCCACCTCACTCTTAAACGAGTGGCTCATCACCATAAGGGTGCTTGGCTTGCAGAGCCGCTTGTGACTGTACTCAAGAAACGAAACATTTACAAAAAGATAGGTATATTTCTGTTATTCTATCTTTCCTTTTTTCTTTCATGATACTGACATATTCTATTTCATCCTATTACATGCTAGCTCAAACAACGGACTCGGCATCCAACAATGTGACAATGGCAGTTGAGATGCATCAACAACTCCAAGAACACGACAAATATTCCTCTGAATACTCTTGGAATCCGGTGACCATGCACATCAAGTGCATGTGTCACAAGATTGGTCTCATCGTCAATGCCGGAATAGCTGCTTTGGGCCTTCCAACGGATCAAACACGCCACTCGGTTCTTGGATTCTTTCCCTCCCCAGTCGACTTACCGACAATCGATGAAGATGGAGAAGAAATTGACCCGGCTATCCTTGTGGGGTCTTCACCCTCTGACGAGGAATCTGATGCCGAACATGAAGAAGAAGAAATAAGCGATTCAGAAGAACAAGAGCGCGATGCTGAACCTGAGGATGAGCACTGGGATATGGAGGCGATTGATATCGTCCCTAAGCCCACCAGAACTAAGTCGAACACACTGAAAGTTTTGACTCAAGACGTGCGTTTCTTTTGCCAACTCACTTAGAATCATACTGACCTTTGTTCATTATGTAGCTTGATTTTGTTATCAAGAAAATAACTCGATCAAGTGCATGGCGTGAGGATTTCAACGCACGTCGATTGGATCCGAGGAGGAGGCGACCCGATGGCGAAGGACCTGGTCGATCTTTGATTGCAGGACACGGTATCAGATGGAACATTTGTCTGGAAAGATGGGAGCGAGCATATGAAAATCGTGATGTAAGTCCACATCCTGATTATGAAATCATTGCATTGAGCTGATAACACATTTTGTCAAACAGGTCATTGATGATATGCTTAAAGAAGATGCATCAAAGTCTTCTATGAAAAAGTCTCGAAATTATAAAAAAGCTTCAAAGAAAGCTTCTGGGTATTTTCAAGAAACGTTCTTCTCAATTTCAGACTGGAGAAATTTAAGAGATTTACTAGATGAGCTGCGAGTAAGTTCCCTCTTCCACAAGAACAAATCATGCATTTGAGGTTGTACTAACCTAACACACATCCTTTGTTTTAGCCGTTCAAGACTCTCACTAAGCGTATGGAGGCCAACGAACCAACTGGATGTATGGTTCTGGCTGAATACCATACTCTACTTACTTCTTTACGAGCTCGATCAGCTTCTCTTCCACCTGACGATCACATGCAAAGTTTTTTGCAAACCTGTATTGAACGAACAAAGGTTTACTTTGACGAAGCCCTCGGTTGTGACGCACTTCTCATGGCTGCCGTTTGCCACCCTGCTCTCCGCTTGCGATTCTTTCATCATGCTCTTGGACCCGATCATGCCACAACCATCCACGCCACCGCACTTCTTGAGGACCTGTTTAACGAACGCCAGTCTGAACTGGATCTTCCTGCCAATTCACCACACCGTCCTCAATCTGAAGCGCCAGAAACCAGTGTGCCTGACATATATCGGCTTTATCAGACTGAGCATACCTCTTCAGTACCTAACGAGTTAGAGCTATACTTGAAGGGTGTGGACCCTTTGGTTTCACCTGGTGTGGAGAATAGTCCTAAGCCTGTTCTTAAATGGTGGAAGGTAAGATTTGTTTAGTTTTCATATTAGACGTTTTGCAATTCACTAATGCATTTTGACATTCTTCAGGAGCATCAACTCAAATATCCAGTATTGGCTTCTTTAGCACGGGACTTTCTATCGGTCCCAGGTGCTTCAGCAGCTGCTGAGCGCACTTTTTCGGCTGCAGCTGATGTGGCCACCGCTGTGCGAGGCCGTTTGACCCTCGCACAATTGAGATGTGCGCTGCATGCACTATTGCATTCGTTGAATCATCTCTGGTAGCACTGCCGTTGTTGCCGGACCTTGGGGTGTCCCCTTTCTTTTCTTTT